CTAGACAGGTCACCTCAGTGTTTCAAGAGGTTCAGAGGAAATTATCAAGCTTAGAATGTTTCTATACAATTGTGATGTCATGTGTTCTTAAGAGAACACTCGGATACTCTACTAGACTGGCCTTTCTTCTGTGAAATAAGGTATGGTTTGTATATAGAATGGAACAGTATGTCTAAGAGGCATTGTTGAGGTATAACGGCTCAAAATAACACTGACTAAATCTGAAAATGGCTTTTCCAAAACTCTGAAATATTTTTTTACTGCAGACTTTCTTCACAGACAATTTTTTTACCAGTGATTCTGTTTTTCTTGTTTTGTTTTTGTTTTGGCTGTGTCCTGCTCTTCCCATTAAATTACAATGGAGAGGGGGAGAGAGAGGGAGAGAGTGCACTTGGGCCTCTATTCCTATTCTTATTAGGGCCAATGCTAAAGTAAATCTCTTATTTTTGTTGTCAGCTGACTGACTCATAATGCACCTCTACTCACAGCTTGACAACAGAAATGAAGGGCCAGGATGAGGGAGGAGAATGCTTGGAATGTATTGGGAGCTGGCAGAGAGGTAAGGAATTGATGTGAGCTGTTTGCAGATCCTGATACTTCAACGAAGGCACAAACGGTTTTCCCAAAATAAAAAGGAAGTTTTGGATTAGTGGATAGTGGAGAATGTAAATGGGCTGTCTGCTGAAACAAAGCAAGGTTATGGCATACACTTGAAAGGAGATCAGGAAGCCTGTAATTGTGGAGTCTGTCTGGTGAGAACAAAGAATACACAGGTGTAAAACTTGTAACAATTCTGGGTGGTTAGAAAGCTGAAAAAAGTAGCACAGAGTTAGACATCTTGCAGACCTCACCTAGAAGTTAGAAATAGGGATGGCCTGGAGCAAGTAGAATGTGTATTAGATAACTCCTGAAGCATTCATTAATCAAGACTTAGGAATAGGGGTGGCTAGAGACCAATTGAATAATTGTTAGATCATTACAATTAGATGACATTTCTTATATATCCTGCCTTATCCATCTTTTGCTTTAGTGAAAATATATAAAGCTTTCTTAATTCTATTGTTTAAGGTTCCTTGGCATTCTGGCTAAGACCCCTTTTCTTTTCAATAAAAGAAAAGCAAACCTGCACCTTGTATCTCCATCGGCTTTGGCACCAGACTCAGACCAAACTGGAGACAACAATCTGGGAGCTCATCCCAGGATTCCATATCTGGATTCAATTGGAAGACACCAACGACCACCAGAAGAGGGCTCCTGGATAGGTAAGACTAGGAGCTGAAAGATGTGTGATTGCTTTGAAATAAAACTCCCAGTCAGTGACCAGGACTGTGTGTTTCTGCATTGTTAGGTGCACTCGAGGCCCATGAGTCTTTTGACTGTGAGTGTATACCTTGAAAAGCAAAGGACATTGCAGAAATCCACATGTCTCACCAATGCATAGAGTGGATTGATTGAATGCAATGAGTCACTGGCTAAAGGAACATCCCACCCCAGTGAAATCCTTGGTGAATTCTTAATTCAGAGGTCTCCAAACTTGGCAACTTGTGGACTTCAACTCCCAGAATTCTTCAGCCAGCATAGCATAGCTGGCTGGAGAATTCTGGGAGTTGAATTCCACAAGTCTTAAAGTTGCCAAGTTTGGAGACCCTTGTCTTAACTGAACTCAAAGGCTGAAGCCCCAAAGAAACTGAGGAGCAGGAATAATCACCAGTGGGGGAAAAAAAGAAGCAAAATTTGGGCAAAAGGTAAGAGTACAACAATGGGTGGCTCAAATTGGAAAATGAACTATGCTGTTTTTCTTGTGAAAACCTCAGAGCTAGCTTCGCTTCTTCTGTGCCTGTATGGTTCTATCAATAAAGTTATACTCTTGGTAAAATAATGTCCCAGGAATTTCTTTTGCTGCATATGCCAATGGGACAGTTGAAAGGAAGAGAATAATAGGAAAACTTTGTACTCTGAAATCTTGTAACTTTGAGTTGCAAACTGTCTACATTTTAACTGGGAATATGATTTTCTAATACAGATCATAAATACAAAATGTATACACTTACAGCTAGGCCAGATTCCATGTACAAGCAACTTGAAGTCTGCTTACACGCACATTGGCAATGAAAAAATAATAATCTGAGTAATATAGTCTGGGAACAAACACAAGAGTACATTTTACTTGGTTTTCCTGCCCATTGTGGAGGGTTAGACTAGATGATCCTTGTGAGATACTCAAACGCCAAAAGTATGTGGTTGCATAAGACTGAAGAACAGAATGTTCTTTCAGAATACAAAGGTTTTGTTGTTATTACTTTATTCAAATTGTGTAAACTGTCTGCTTGTGAGAACTATGACAAAGAAAGGCTTAAGCTGTGCTTAATTATAATGCTGTTTATCTTCTATTTTCAAGCAGGTCCCCCGCTCCCTGATTCTATAATATTCAAAAACTGAATTGCCTATTATAAGTAAAAAAAAATATTTTTCTCTCTGCGACTTTAGATTCCATCCTGTGCTCTCTATGTATATATGTACCATGTTTCCCAAAAAATAAGACCCGATCTTATGGGGTTTTTTGTCTCCAAAATAAGCACCATGGCTTATTTTGGGGGTAGGTCTCATTTTTTTCCCAGCCACAATGGAGCAGGAGGCGAGGTGGGGGAGTGGTATGGAGGACGAAATGAGGTGGGGGGGTAGAGGACAGAGCTTCACTGTCGCAACGGAGCAGGTGGCTAAGCAACGCACCAGTGCCATGGCCCCTAAGCAAGCAATGGGGGTGAAGGATGAAGCGAGGTGGTGAGGGGTGGAGGACGAAGCCCCAACAGTGTCCTTGGTCGCCTGGCCTGCAGAGCCCTGATGCTGTCAGAGAGAGATGGCGGCACCCAGAGCAGCTGCTTCCCTGTCTTAACTGGCGGTGGCAACTAGCATGGCACCGCTTCCCGCCATTTGCATTCCATCCCTGGTCACCTGGAGCCCTTGGGGGGTTTGACTTGCCACCTGCTTCCCAGGTCCCGTCCATCTCCCCTTGCTTCCCCAAAGCATCCCTTCACTGTTTTCCAGTTCCGTTCACTACCACCACATGCACGGCAAGAAAAGAAGGCTAAGGGATTACCGGTAAAACAAAAAGTTCAATCAGACCTTCCAACTTTGCAAAATCTTCTTTTTTTTTCCCCGCAAGAAGTTGGAAGGTCTGGGTTGTTTTTTTTAAGTCCCACAAACTTCTTTTGTCGCCCTGCATGTGGTGATGGAGAATGGAGCTGGAAAGCAAGTTAGTGAAGGAATATGATTGCTCTGGGGTGGGGTGGGGGTTAGGATTTGGCACTCAGAGCAATCACACAACCCTAATGTCGACCCTGACGATGACACATGTGTAGCCATGTTTTATTAAAGTCATGTTTTATTCTATTCTTTCTTAGCTTCTTTAGTGTTGTGTAAAAGGGACTGCGGGTATTCGGGCTCACCACATTCTAGTAACTGGGGGGAGGGAGCACAGGTGAGGGGGGATGTTTGTGCTGTTGAAATTCTTTTCCTGTGGGAACAGTGTGTACGTCTGCAGCTGCCCGGAGGTGGAGTCTGGAGTCATTGGACAGATGAACTGTAACCTGATTGGAGAACGTGACTATGGGGAGAAGTTTCAAACTTATGCTTTTACTGGGTGTAATTCCAGGATTTGATCAGATCCAGAATTACACCAAACCTTGCCAACTTGATATGTTCCTAATAAAAAAGACTGTGTTTGGATAATGGCCATGTTGGACTATCCTTTGTGGGAACGTATTACCTGGAAGCTTGATATCTAACCCTAACACCACTTCACTTCATCCTCTATCCCCCCACCACCACTGCCTTGCTTAATGGCCATGGCACCAGTGTGTTGCTCAGTCTTCTGCTCTGTTGCAGCAGCAAGAAGCTTCATCCTCCCTGCTGCCTCATTTCATCATCCACCTTCCCCCACGTTTCGTCCTCCACCCTGCTACTGCCTTGTTTCATCCTCCACTACCCCATTTCATCTGCCACCACCACACACTCCTTGCTCCTCCCCATCGGCTCATGTGGGCAGCAACCAGATAGAATGGGCGGACGGGTGGCTACACAGGGTTTTAAGTAGGGCTTACTTTAGGGGTAAGGCTTATACTTGGCTCAGGCATGAAAATCAGGCTTGGGCTTATTTTTGGGATAGGTTTTATTTTCGGGGAAAGATGGTATGTATCTATGTATGTATCTTGATCTATTGGAGAACCCCATCTGACTCGGGAAAATAAGCATTCTCTTTAAAATATGAGGGGAAAGAAAATAAAAAAACATATTTAAAAAGAAGAAAAATCACATCACCTGTCATCTTTTAATTTGTATAAAACCTATACTTTTTATTACTACATATAAAAACTATGAACTAGATCATGTTTTCCTAATGTTATTTATATTCCCTAATATAAAATACTCTATACTAGAATATGAATTTTTGGTTTTTAACCTAGATAAATTACACAACTATTTGCACTAGGTCAAGGCTGGGGATTAGTCTGAAAGCCAACGTTATTTGAATAATTCCTGTTTATACAAACGAAGTGTTAATACACTATATTTTGCATGCTGTATGCAAACATGACCTTTTTGATAATGAGCCCAGAGAACTGAGGAAAGCTTGAAAACCAAAATTAAAGACATTAAAGATTACAAACATTTTCAAAATTATTGTTTATTATTGTTTATTAAAGCAAATCTACAATATGATGAATGAAAAGTCAGAAAAATTGGATCATACATACAAAAGACAAGCATTTAAAAAACAGAGATCCAGAGGATTTAAGAAGGATCTTAATAAAACTAACTTTTCAAGGGGAAGGCAAATAGTGGATGGGGATGAAATATAGATAAAGGAAAGTAGCCAAAGAAAGTTGGGATAACTTAAGAAATATTAAAAGGAAGAAAGAAGGAGAACAAAAATCTTAGTGGAGGATACACTTATGAGCAAATTGAAGATTGAAGAAATCCTAAATAAATCCTAGATTGAAGAAATCCTAAAATCTAGAACCTGTAGCGTTTTTATCTCCATTTGTACTATTTAATAATCGAACAAAATGAAAAATGCTTCAAAATGCTTCATTTTAGCATAAGACAACATTCTGAAGATCATTAAGAAAAAAAATCCTCCTCCTTGGTGTAAGGTATGTGTATGGAAACAGATATTTCAGAGCAACTTTGCCTAACATGGTGAATAGAGTTGAAGAAGCTTCTTGGGTGAGAAGCAAAACGTCTTCAAAGAAAAACGAGAAAGTCCAGTTGCCTCTTGAAAAAAGCACTTTTGAGATTTCCAGCTCTATGATTCCATGTTCTAATTGTGTCAACAGGATGTGGAAACAATCTTAGGAATAGCAACTCACCCCTTCTGACTCTTTGTGAGACAACATTCAGCACTTTTTCTTCCTGTTTTTGTTTGGTCAAGTAAGGCATAAAAATGTCTGTGCAGAATAAAGGTGGCTAATGTTTTTCCACTTATTTCCATTTAAGAGAGAGGAACTCTCTCAACCAGTCAGAAGAGCAAAGTTCCACAAGCCTTCTGGACTTTATATTTACATTTCTTCCTCAGATGTCTTTGCCTTTGCCAAATTGGGGCTTTTTTCTTCCAAGCGCAGCAGAATTTAGGGACACCTTATAAGGGTCAACAACCAACAGGGCAGCAGCAGGGTTTCACTCACTTCTCTCTTCACTGGTTCCTTGGAAAAGGGTCCCTTGACTAGCCTCAAGTGATTGCCTCAGAAAGAACCTCAGACAGAGAGCTAGCACATTCTTTCAAGGTTGGTTACAAGTCTTTACAAAGCAGCAAATCCTAAGCTATGTCCATTGGTCATTTCTGCAGCCAGTTCGTTCTTTCCATTTCTTATTGCCTTTGTTGAGCATTTGCCTGAAAGGGGGTTGGCAGGATATAGGGAAGAAAAGCGCGCCAGGGTCCAGATGGGGAAGACATTTCGATAGGAGCTGTAGCTGATAGCACAAGTCTTGTTGAAGACACCTGCAATATTCTCCTGTAAGCAAAACAAGGAAGAGAATGTAAAGTTCAACTTTCCTGTGGATTTCATAGTACAAAAGATCCCGCAGGAAAGGAAAATAAAACGTGTGAGTCACCTGCCACCCAACATACATGACCACATATATTAGGAAGCTTCTAACAAGTTGACTTGCCTTGTATATCAAAAGGATAAAAAGTCTGCATATTTTAAGGATAATGTAGGAATTCAAAAAGGAGAGACTTGCTGCTGCTGAAATGGACTGAACCAAGAAGGGTATCAGAATAAATCAAAACTGAACCCATGACATGATTGCAAAGTAACAGGCAGTAGTGACAAGTGCTTTTTGTTCTCCATCCATATTTAAGCATGGTGTCAGCAACTTCATGAGAGTTTGGGGACAGCCCACTTTCATGCATTTTAATTCATATATTAATTATTATTTAGCATATAGCAACAGCTTTGTGCATGGTGTGACCTGCTTTGTTAGGCCGGAATAATAGCACTAGATGGAAGCCAGACCATCTGCCTTCCTGCTCAAGAATGACTGTCCCTTAAGGTGATGGGACAAGATCCAGGTATGCTTTTAGTGTAGGAGTATTATTGATAAGATAGAAGTCTTAGCAAACCTTGTAAGCTTCGGTTGAATGTTACTACTGAACTGTATACATTATGTTGCTTTTAATAATTGGTTTACAGTGATGTGTGTTTCTGGAACTGGTTCATGGCACTGTATGCTCTTGAAACTTGTCTAGAAGGGAATCCCACTGTAAGCAGGGATGTGCTCATTTTGGAACTTGCTTCTGGGCAATCTTTTATTTGCAAATAAAAGTCTTATTCCTTTCCACCTACCTGGTGTGGTTTATTGGATCTGCATGCCAGATAAAAGGACCTAAGCTTTCTGGGACAAGAGGACTTTGAGAACTAAGCCTTTTAAACATTAATAACTGTGGGCATGGCAGTTGCCCAAGAGTAGCCTAAGAGTCAGAAAGAGTGTACTAAATGAAGCTGGAATGGGTATGCAGAAGATAAGTAAAAAATGTATCAGTAGATCCTACAGAGCAACAACAAAGGAACTCTTTTGATGCTAAAAATGTGCATGTAACCCAGGGGGAAGGATTATAAGGGCTAAGTAGTTGAGGCATAATGCTCTTAAGCAAAGACAGATAAACTGAAAAAAGAGACACTTTACCTGAGGCCAGTCCCCATTAGGCAGCTGTTTCTCAATCAATAGTTTAATTCCCTTTTCCAGAACTTGGATATCTGGGTACCTGCAAAGCAAAATGAACCAATCTGATGTAGCAGAGGCTGGACAGAAACTGGGAGCTGGTAGGTTCTAGTGCACCCTTAATCATGAAAGTTGGCCAGATGACTCTGTGCCTGTCACTCTTTCCCAATCTAATTCATCCCACAGAGGGCAGGAGGAGGAGGTCAGTGTGCAATGCCTTGAGTGGTAATGTGCAATGCCTTGAGTGTACATTATAAAGGCAAGATAAAAATCACCATCACCATCCTTCTCCACCTGCTTCCTAGAAAACTGCTACAGGCAGACTCAGGGAACTTCACTTGCACTTAAGTGTAGAGAAAGAAAAGGTAGCATCTGTGTTCAGAAAAGCTCTTTCCATGTGCTGCAGTATCCCAAGCACAAAACTCCACTCCAATCTCTTGATAGAATTTCCATCAGAGGCCTGTGATTAGTTACCCAGTTCACGGCAAACCTCTAGAAAGGGTTAGGGTTAGGGTTGAATGGTCCTGTGGTGTGTAATAGGTCTTCAGATAGACTCTATTCCAAGCTCAGCACACTATATTTGAAATATAGAAAACTGAATGTGGGTGTGAGACTATGGAGAAAATGCTGTTTCTGGAGACATCCTAAGGCCATGATGGCGAACCTATGGCATGTGCCACAGGTGGCACGCAGAGCCATTTGTGCGGGCATGTGAGCCCCAGGCAAACATACCTCACAGTGCATGCGCAAGCCTCCCAGCTGATTTTTGGGGCTTTTTCAGCCTGACACAGGCTTGAGGGAAGCCTCTGCAAGCTTTGCAGGATGAAAAATAGGCCCGGTTTGTCACTTCCTGTATTTCCAGAAATACCGGAAGTGACTAAAAAGGCTCATTTTTCGGCCTACAAAGCCTGCAGAGGCTTCCCTCAAGCCTCTGGTAGGCCGAAAAAGGCCTCAAACAGGCCAAAAATCAGATGGGAGGCGCAGTGCAGGTAAGGGGGTGGCATGGGGGGGGGGAATTGCACACGCATGTGCCGGGGGCGTGTGGGGGCGCATTGCCTTCTAGGTGCTGGCATGCGCACGTAAGCACATATACAATTTTTGGTGCAGTAGCCCCAAAAGGTTAGCCACCACTGTCCTTAGGAAACTGTTTTGCACACAAGTTTCATCAACTATATTGGAAGTCATTGTGTGGACCTAGATGAAAATACTGTCCCTCCACAGCTGCAAGATATCAAAATCAGAATATCAAAATAATCAGTGCTACCTGACTCATGATTAGAACAGAGGCCACTGTTATAGGAAACCAAAGGCAATGGATCCTGCAAGCACTTACCTAGCAGCCATGAGTCCCAAGAGAGCCCAACAGGTGTTGTGGATCTGCGATGCGGTGCTCTGGACATATCTACGTTGTTCACAAGACTCAAAGTCCTCTCCCCAACCACCATCCTCCATCTGCTTGGAGACTAAGAACTCACAAGCCCGGGTCACTGCCTGACAGGCCACTCTAGGAGAAGAAAATCAGAAGGGATGGAAATCCAGAGCCACCCTTGCCAAGAGAGTAATTGGAAGAGCAAGGCAAAGGATTTTATCCTACACTGCTCATAAGAAGTTTCTTCCGCTGTCAATCTTCCCTTCTAGCCAGCAGAAATGAAAGGAGAAAGGAGGTGACTCACCCACCACAGTAGGCCTGCTGCATACAAGCGTGTGCTTCCAATCCAAACCATGCGCCGTAAGTGAAACACACACCCCAGCTTCTAAAAAGGAGAAGAAATCAGTCAGCCGATGCAGACTGTTGGGGCAGAAGGAAAGGGAGGATAAAATAATGGGCTGTCTGTTGTTCATTCTCTGCAGCAATCTGAAATATATATAGAGAGAGATGTGCCTGCCAGGGAGATCTTCCACCCCCACAGTGACTATCCTTCTGCTGCAATGACAAAGGGCCACTGAGTGCAACCCAACAAGTGAGAAAACAGGATCTGTGAAACAAACTCGGGACCTGAGTATCTGCAATGAGACATATTCCTACCCAAAGAAATGTCTGGAGCAGACAGCCCTAAAACTGTCACGCTGAATTTATTTAGAAGATACTCACCCTTCCCAGGACCCATCAGCTCTCTGCTTTTTCTGACAATACCTCAAGCCCTTTTGCAGTATCTCTCTAAGTAAAAAGGAGAACACAATGGGAAAACATTTCAACATATCCACTCTCTGTTCGCTCCCTCCTAAGCAATCAACGTGTTTTTTCCCCATAGGGGATAATTATCTGTTTCCTCCTCTGCCCTGATTCTGCAGTTTGTCCTCTAGCACAGCGGTTGCCAACTGGTCGGCCGCGGCCCACTGGTGGGCCGTGAGAAAATTTTGGTCGGCCACAGAGAAATCTCACCCCCAGAACACCCCGACAAAGCAATTAATCCAGGCTGCGCAGAAACACAAGGCTGTGCCACCCACATGGCCCGCGGCAAGCCTTCCCACCCACATACTCCTTACCTGGTAAACTTGCCTGCTAAATTTCTATTTTAGCTTTTTCGACCATCATCTGTTCTGCTGTGCTGGGAGATTTAGATTAGCTAGGAAGCAGGAAATGGTTGGATTTCTGGCTTTCTAGCTAGTCTTTAGATCTTCGGCTCAGCACAGCCAAACCTCCCTTAGGACTGAAGGCTTGCTTGCTTGCAAATTCAGTGCAGACTCACGACAAGCAAATTTGAGAGACTGAGCTAGCCAATGGCAGATAGATAGATCACTGATTGATTCTGTGAGCAACTCAATCTGCCTGCTTTGCCTGATTTTGGGTAAAAATTGCTCTTTTTTATAAAAAATTCAATATTTACATGCATGGTGTGTTGCGAGTTAATTTTGTGAGTTTGCTTGCAAGCAAATTTTATGTGACAGACTGAGCTAGCCAATGGCAGATAAACAGATCGCTGAATGAATCTGTTATTCTGTGAGCAACTCAATCTGCCTGCCTGCTTTGCCTGATTTTGGGTAAAAGTTGCTCGTTTTATAAAAAATTCAATATGTATATAAATATTTATAATATTTACATACAAACCATGCCCAGCCAATCACATGACCGCCAAGCCACACCCACAAATTAGGCCACGCCCACGGAACCGGTTAGTGGTCCCTGGGATCTAAAATTATGAGTTTGGTGGTCCCTGAGGTCCGAAAAGTTGGTGACCCCTGCTCTAGCAGACTTTCTCAGAAGGAAGGTCAGTAAAATAAAAGTAAACTCTGGAAGAGCCTTTCCTTTCACCCTCACTCCTCTTTGTTTACCTGATTTCCAGGGCTCTGTGTTCCGGGAAGCACTTGTGGAAAAGCTTCAGTGCCTGCATCACAGCTGAGGTACATTCCACATATGTATAGTCAATCATGATGTCACCTAAACACCACACAGGAACAAGAGGTCAGCATGATCTGGATGTATGATGCGGAGCATACTTTTCTTTCTTCCAGTGAAATTCTGGCACGCGTTTTACTTGGTGAAGCCACCAAAAGGCCAAGAAAACTGCTCAGAGGGGAGGGAGGTGTAGATTCAACCCATCTTTATTCTACAAAGGCAACCATCCCTTGGCCAGAAAATATAGTAGCAGAGACTAACATCAATTGTCCAGAAGGGGATCTGAAGACCCTCTGGAGCAGGGCTCTCTAACCTTGGCAACTTTAAGACCTGTGGACTTCAACTCCCAGAGTTCCTCAGCCAGCAAAGCTTTGGGAGTTGAAGTCCATAAGTCTTAAAGTTGCCACGGTTGGAGAGCCCTGCTCTAGAGAAAGTAAAGAAGCCATACAAGTCTTTATTCTTACCAAATACCTCTGAAGGATTCAACAGCTCCAGCAACCAGCCCCCGCGCATGGTTTCATATGATGAAAAGCCACCATCAGCGTTCTGCATGTTCAGCAACTGAAGAGAGGACAAAGAACAATCTGACTTGGCCAAAGAAAGAGTCTTCAGGAAGCTGCAAAAAGTTTCAGAAATTATCTGCCTTGAAAATCTTCTCTAATGGAGCCATCACTCCATCTGGATGTACATTCAGCCCCCAACTTTCCTGTAAATCACAAGGTAGGAATTCAGTCTAAGCTTATTGTTTGTGGGCATTCTATGTACCGCTGCCTTTATTTGGCTTATTGTTTCTGTTTTGCTTTGTTATTTACCACCTAAAGTCAAAATTGATCAGGGCAGCCTAAAAATACAGTTAGGAGAGACCATATACACAGCCCTACTTCTTGTCTGGAAATCTCTACCCGTAGTCCTCGGGTTATGACCCTAATTGGAAATGGAATTTCCGTCATTAAGCTAAGCAGTCATTCAGCAGAACATTGCAGGGCCATGCCATTTAGCAATGGTCATTGGACAAGGACTTCTCACTTCTCTGCCCTGCATTAACTGCCTCTGCTTTCAGTCCCTCCACACACACACCCAGCTCAATATCTCTGTCCTTCTGGTCGCTCTGCACAGCATGGGCCAAGGTGAAAATGAGTGGGGGAGGTGGATTCTCAGGAAGAAAGTGACTTTTCTCTGCTCACCACATTTACAGCATCAAATAGACGACTGGGTGGGATGTGTTCCTTGATAAATGGGCACTTTTCCTGTAACAGTATCACAGACTTCAGACCTTCTGCGGTACAATCAGCAACGATCCAGCCACAGTCACGAGTACTGAAGGGAAATCCACCCTGGTGGTTATTAGACAATAGTAGTTTAATTTGGTTTGGAGCACAGAACACACACACACCCCCAAAAAAAAATCCACAAAAGAAAATAAATTTTCAAACTAAGAAAGCAACATTCATAGAAAAGAAATAAATGAATTAAAGTTTATGAAATACAGTGAAAATCAAAGACAGTTAAATAATTGTAAAAAGCCAATGATTAGCATGTAAACGATTACTTAAGAGGAATGAATGTGTGAATGAGGTGGGAAAGGTAACCTTGAGAAATACGTGTCATAAAACAAAAAGAGAAAAAACCAAGAATGTATGCTTAAATGAGTATTAATTGAATGCAAAATAACCAATACAAAAGATGTATAAAGGAAAAGTCAATGAATTGAGAGAAAGGGGACAACTACAAATTTATTGTATGTCTGGATGGAGTTGATGAGATTATAAAAAAGGAAAAATAGTAAATTACACAAGGCATCTATAAAGCAGTGTCAGAACATGGAATCAAGGATGACTTACAAGTATGGAAAAATGAATGGGTGGTGTTAGGCTCAACAAGTTTTCCTTTTTTTCCTTATTCTTATGCTCTAATTTCTCTGGCTTACTATTTCTTTCTCTCTTTCAGCACTTTGCACAGCACTGTTTACCCTCAAAGTGATATGTATGCATAAAAATCACCTGCATGGCCACAAATGTTTGATTTAAATGCATTGCTCTAATGCTCAAGAATTAGTAACAAAGTCAAAAAATATTGGAAATCTCCATCTCCTTCCTTGGGGTAAGAATTACCAGGCAAGATACTCTATCTGCCTCTATTTAGCATATGTGAGCAGCAAGTCTAGATATTTGTTGACCTATATCTAGAAGATGGCAGCAATGAAACTCTGCTTCTCTAGTGATGATGCCGATTTTTCCAGCATGGATCTGGTAGCTTTATTTTAAATGCCTTAAGTGAATGAGAGTCCATAATCTGCCATTACAATCAATTCCAATGCCACGGTCACCCCATTTTGCCTACTGGAAAGAGAGAACGATTCTGCCACATTTAGAAGAAATGTGTTCACTGAACAGTCTCATCCACAATCCTATAGTGTGAGCGTCCCTGAGGTTTTACACTGTTAGATCATTCAGTGTACAAGCAGGAATGCAGAAGGCTCCTTCAAACATATCACAAAATCTAACTCAACCATTACAAATATAATTTGCTTCTTTCACCTTTTTTATTCACCCTAGCTTTCACAGCTAATTTAAGTCTTGTTTCCACTTTCTGCCCCCTTGTTATAATCATACCTTGTTCATCTGACGGTAGTACTTTTCATAATTAGGTGGATTATCTGGAATCTGGAGGAGATAGAATATTATAATGAAATGCATCTTGCAGGACTGAACCACAACAAAGCTACTTCGTGCTACCTATGGGCTTGAGGAGAGAGAATCAGTTTGGTGTAGTGGATAAGATGGTAGACTAGGAACCTGGAGACTGTGAGCTCTAGCCCCACCATAAGTGTGAAAGCTGGCTGGGTGATCTTGGGCCAGTCACTCTTTCCCTCAGCCCAACCCACTTTACAGGGTAGTTGTTCTGGGAGAAAACTTGAGATAGGCAGATGTGCTTGGGACTATCAGAAATGGTGAGCTTGTTCTCTGCTGTGATTAGTTCTTTTTTAATCAAATGTGCAACTAGACACATAGCTCAAAGGTCACTGGGAAGGAATCCTTCAAGGATAATCAGGGACTAGAATGTGACATTTTTACCTGTGTGATTCTCAAGTACTGATGTGCAAGTATCAGACAGCTGTCAAATTCAGGCTTCTCCTGGGCACCAGCCTTTTAAATAAAAGAGTTTAACTTCAAGTAAAGCAAAGATATCGTTTTAGATTCCACTCAATCCCTGTAATTTTTTATTTAATATTTTATTACCATTAATTTCTGTTCAGGATTTATGGCTAAAATATGATGTCCACTCACTGCAAATCATAGCCAATATAGTTATATTAATTATATCCAGTTTAAAAATGTAAATAAAATAAGGAAGGAAAAGAAGCCAGAATAAGGCTATTAGCACCCTGAATGGATAGAGTGGAAGGTGATGTAATTTAATTTGTTCCACTTTTCTCTCACAATTGCAATTTGAAATGGAAAGGGCTGCTTTGGGGCAGGGTTCTTGTTTAAATTATGATACAAGAAAGCGCAGCTAGTTAACTTTTCCACAAAGTTCATTAAAATTAACAAGCAAAACTTGTGGAAAAAACTGTTACCTCCAGAAAAGCTTGAACAGCAAATGCTGTATCCCAAACTTGTGATCCATTGGTGCCCTAAAAGAGAAGATAGTTTGAAATGACGCTTTTTGGTTGCATTTTGAAATTTTCAGCATGCAAACTGTTTCAGCCAGTAGACTACATACCATCAATTCCAGCTAGTCTCCCCTTCCAAGAGTATAGTATGCTAAGGGATATTCTTCCATGAACTCTTCCTCTAGCACAGGGGTGTCAAACTCGGTTTCATTGAAGACTGCATGAGGGTTGTCTTTGACCTTGTATGGGCTGAGTGGGTGTGGCCAGAATGGGTATGGCCAGCTTGACATCACTCATGTCAGGGGCTTGGGCTGTGGTGGTCCAAGCACTCTGCCAGCAAAAACAGGCTCCTGAGCTCCATTTTTGGCTGTGACAGCCTATTGCAACCCTGTGTCAGTGAAAACGGAGCTAAGGGGTTGGTGTGTGCAGCCCTCAGAAACTCCATTTTCAGCTGGGCCAGCCTCCTGCAAGCCTCTACCAGGGAAAATGGAGCTTGAGAGGGACATATCCAGCCTGGTCCTTTGCTGTTTTCAGGGCCACCCAGTGGGCCAGATCTAAGCACCCTGCAGGCTGGATCTGGCCCCCGGGCCTTGAGTTTGACACCCCTGCTCTAGCACAAACAGCTTCTACCAATTACCTTATTGTATTCTTCAAGACAATCTCTCTTGCCTACAATAAAACCGTTGATAATCCTTTGCTATTTAGGAATTATTTTCTAAATGTACTCCTTTCCACATAAGGAGCAAGAAAAAAATGTCATTCCTTGATCTCATAACTTACTTTATCACCCTTATTTTCTCACACTTAATAGCCGGGGTCAGGCGGTGGGGCTGAGGCTGTGTTAGGAATTTGTCAGAAGAAAATCAATCAGAAGAAAAGAAACAAGTTTGCCTCCCTGATTCCAACTTCCTCTTTGGAAATGAATTTTACACAGTCACTCATGCCCAGTCACATCCTGGCTTGACCACTCAATGCACTCTAAGTGGGGCTCCACTTGAAGACTACCTGGAAGCTTCAATTAATCTAGAATGTAGCAACAAGTACAGACAGCAATGGCCATGACTCAACATGCCCATCTAAAGTTGCTGCTTCACAAGCTGCACTTGTTTCCAGGTGTGATTTAAGCTGCTGTTGCACATAAAGCGCTATGTGGCACAGGGCTTGCTTGCTTCAGAGACTGCCTGTCTCTCTTGGCATTTTCCTGGCAGATTTGTTCCTGCAGGGTTGGCACGCTTTGGGTTCCCTGGATTAAACAATGACATCTATCAGGACTCTAGAAGTAGATCTTCCCAGTAGCAGCGCCTGCCCTCTGGGAACAGGTTCCCCCAAGATCCAAATGGCCCCCACTCTGCTATTGTTTGGAAGAGCTAGAAAGACTAGACTTTTCACTCAGTCTTTGACATGGCATGACTTCATCACGCTTGCCATCTTTTGGATTTTATTGATTTTATTGTAATTTTTTTACGGTTATGAGCTGCTCAAAGTTGATAGGATTCAAATGACAAACAAGTTTAATACATTACTATCGTTACTGTTAATTTTAAACAGAGCTCTTGGCAGAGTCTGCAGCAGTCACTACCCGATGAGACGGGTTCAGACCTCGGCAAAAGAAAACCACGGCAGGAATTATTACCTGCATCTTCATGCCATCCAGACCCAGCCTGCAAGGAAAGCAAAAGCCAGCATGAGAGGCATGGCAAAGCAGAAACAGGCAAGGGACCTGTAAGTTTCACTACCAAAAACAGTGAGTCCAATGCCACGAGTAGCCTGAACGCTGGGGGCTTCTAGCCATTCCTGGAAAGGCCTTTTGAATAAGAGGCAATGGATAAATTAGGACTGAATATGAGGAAGGAGGCAGGCTCGGGCTAGATCACTCACCTTTACCTACTGACTGGCCTACCGCTTCAAACTCTGCAGTGATTTTCTAGAGGGGTGGGTTGGGCCACAACACAAATGGAAGAAAAAAAAACCCCACCTTGTAGCATTTCTTACCTGGAACTTTAATGTGTACTTCAAGTGATAACTCTCTCCTACAATACAGATAGTCCTTGACTTGCAACCACAACTGGAACCAGAATTTCCATGGCTAAGCAAGATGGTTGTTGGGCGAGTCATGCCAGATTTTACGACTTTTTTTGCCATGGATGTTAAGCAAATCATGGCAGTTGTTAAATGAATCAAGAGATCCTTGAGTGGGAACTTCCAGCTGACTTCGGGACGAGACCAGAAGCAGCGAACGGAGGTCTCCTTCCCTGCGCTGGCTTCTCGCCGTTTGTGGGCTCCGGATGGAGCCGAAAGCTGCCTTGGAGGGGCGGCGAAGCTAAGGAGAGGCGCTCGGTGTGATTCCAGAGGAGAATACAACTCCCCTGTAGAGTCCCTGAGATTTTTTCTCTATGCTACGACGGAGAGAAGAGTGGGCCTAGATGGACGCTTCAAAGTTGGGACAACCAACGAACATCTAAGCACAGCGCTGGAGTGGAGATTGGGAACAGCGTATGGAGAAGGGTGAGAAGAATTCTTTCTATTTTTATACCCCAAAAAACTATAACAGAGAAGAAGGAAAAAGAAATTTGGACTAGCGGCGGATAAAAGAAGAACTTGAAATCATAAAAAACTTTAAAGCTTTTTTAAAAAAAAATCTTATAATTGGAAAAGAAAGTAAATTATAAGAAAATCAAATTGGACCAAGAGATCAGGCAGGATTTGGCATTAAAAGGCATCAACTTGAATGCTGGAAATAATTATTTGTAATAAAAAGTAAAGATCAATTTAAAATTGTGGAAGCTAAAGAGAGAAAAAGAGTGGCGGTGGAACTGGTTTAAAAGAGCCACATGCTAATAAAAGAAAAATCCCGTGGATTCCTTCAACTTAACGATATTATTTAAAGAAGAAATTGAAGAAAATAAAAATAAAAGAAAGTTATTATAACAAGACCCCTGAAACATGGACTGAATTACATCTAAAGAGTATGAGCATAGGAGGATGTCAGCAATACTTTCTCTGGAATCATCTGTGCTCCTGGATTGATTAACATTGGGAATAAAGATATTAACTTTTTCAAATAAAGAAAAGATACTGGTATAAATAAAATAAAATTGACTGGACATTCAAAACTTGGAACAACTAAGCAATATGGAGATAAATTTGTAATGTAACAAAGACGAATACATATGCAGGTGGAACCGAGTCCGGGGTTTGTTTTTGGAACATAGAAGGAGACCTAAAATGGCGACCATAGCAGATAAAGAAGAGGGAGAAAGAACAAAGAAGGGGGAGGAGTTAGAAACAAATGAAACCAGTGAAATGTAATAAAAGTAATGGTAAATAAGTTAAAAGAAGAAAAAAGAAGTTGAGCAGGAGATGTTAATGATGAATTTAATAGATTAAGAGGGGGAAGTAAGAGGGAAATGTTGATAAATTAGTGAAATAATAAAGAAAGGGGATGGGTCAACTGGGAGGAGTGGGAGAGAAAATTTGAGCCAAAAATAATAGTAAATGGTAAGAAAAGGAAGAAAAGATGATCTAATAAAAAAAGGAAAATTAGAGATAATGGTTAGAAGTGGAAAAAATGAGAATCCACATGAAGAGGGATTCTTAGAGTAAATAAACATAAAAGATTTTGAAAAATGGGATTAAAATTTGATATAGTTATAATGTAGTAGCGATGGCAATAAGAATTATTAACAGATCAATTAAATAAAATAGAAATGTGATTAAAGATCCAAAATGGAATATTTTGTGGAGCATGACAGAGAAAAGATATAACTATAAAGTAGGAGAATGTTTAACTATGTATTTTGTTATTTATATATATAAGGTAATAAGATAATAATAATGTAAGTTTGAATTTATTGGCTAAAAGAAAATATTTATCTAAAAGGAGATGTTAGAAAGAAGGGTATATATAGAAGATAAAATATAAGCAATTGTGGCAAATGTAAGATGGGGGCCTTTAAATGTTTAAACTATAAACTATAAACATACTAAGTAAAAGAATACATGACGTTTTTACCTTGTTATTCATTTGTATAAGAAGATACATTGCAAATTTGACTGAGAATAAGAAGACATATAAGTAAGGATAACTACATAATAAGATAGAATTTTTTTCTTTTTAATGAGCTAATTATTTTGTTATCCACTTAAATAAGAAGATATATTGCTATAATTTGATGATATGAAGATTGTGAATAAGAGAACATACAATTAAGGATAACTATAAGTTAAGATGGGAACTTTAAATAACTAATGAAATATATGAACTAATTATCTTGTTATCTATATGTATAAGAAGATGTATTGATAAAATTTGATAATACTAATGTTTAATTGAGGATAACTATAAACTAGCATGGAAATTTTACATGATTAATAAAATAAGGTAATTGAGAAGAAAATGAAGTGAAGCTGGAAAACTGTTTGTGATTAATGAATATGATTAATTTGAAATGTAAAACACCTGTAACTGTGCTGTTCTCGTAAAGATGTATTTAAATAATTAAAAATAAAAAACTTTTATTAAAAAAAGAGATCCTTAAGTGACTCCAACTTCCCCCGGTGACTTTGCTTGGTAGAAGCTGGCTGGGAAGGTCATGGACAACGATCGTGTGACCCTGGGATGATGTAACCGTCATATACAAGCCAGTTGCCAAGTGCCCAAATTTTAATCACATGACTATGGGGATGTTATAATGGTTATAAGTGTGAGGACTGGTTTTAGGTGACTTTTTTCAGTGCCGTTGTAACTTCAAATGGTCACTAAACAAATGGTTGCATGTTGAGGACTACCCGTATAACCTTAGATAACCCATTTATATTCAGGAAATACTTTCTAAATGTATTTTGGAGTACATATGGTATCTTCTAAAGGATAGTAGACAGTGGAAGTATTTAAAAGAGCTTTAATAACACGGTATCTTTTAGCTGTGTTGCACTAGACTAAGATTCACACTTTGCAAAGTCAACTCCCAAGATATCTAACCAGAATGGCTAGTTCTATAGTCCAACACATCAGGAAGATTCCAGGTTGACAAAGTTTTCTGGACAAATTTGGATTTCAACAAAGCCTTACCAGAGATAGTCAGAGATTCTAGAAATGTGTCCCTGGAATGCAGGAGACTTCGGTCCTTCCACATGCCAGCGCACTAACATGTTAATCGTTTTAGATATCTACAAAGGCAAAGAAAGAACTATTATTTTCCTCCTAAAGTCTAAAGTCATCTGAGAGTAATAGCTGTGCTTCTTCACAAATGTAGCTCTTCCTCATTTCAAAAATTCTCGAGGAAACCAGTACCTTCTGCTTAAGTGTAGACACAGATGAGAAATATTTAAAAGTACAACCTTTTTCATAACACCAAAGGGATGTCTTCAAACAGCACTGAGTTTAACTCTGAATGACAAAAATATTAGAGGAAAACACCTTGAAACATGGAATCTCAACAACGGCATTCTAGTTTTTTATTTACAAAACAAAATTAAAAGTGATGTTCTTTTATTTAGAAACAGATTAACTTTTAAAACATGGAATATTCCCATTTGAGGAAAAATGCATGCTGCCTACTGATGCATTTCCTTTCTTCAGGGCTTGTAAGAAACCAGAAATACAGTTGACACTTTCAAGCCATAAAAGAGCCCATTCAGGCTGATGTCCAAAAACACCATCGTGCCTTTCTGGTGTGAAGGACATTCAATTCAACTGAATGCCTCATCTCCCTTAAAGCATCCTATGCATCCTTCCCATGCCAGCTCCTTCCACAGCAACAGCGTACACTGAGTAGCAGCCAGCAATACCATCTCTTATCCCACTGCAGACTGGCCATTACTACAGTGTTTCCCACCATTCATCACAGAGAGGATTCCTCCGCAAAATTAACATTTATCTTGTTATTGCTATGCCCAGAAGGCAGACCTGGGTGGCTGCAGAAAACATTAGAGATAGAAAGAGAAGAAAGTGGATTAAGATAAGATTGTTGGGCAGCTGGAATGTTCACAAAGGATGTGTTCATTGCTAGCAGTCTACCTTACTCCCCCACATTTGCAGGAGAAAGAAAACATTCTCCTTAAGGCATGTTCATAGTCTCCAGACTGTGGCTAGGGCTGCAGGCAGCGACTGTTTCTGTGAGAGGTGAGCACAATAATTGACTGTCAAGAACAATGAGTCCTCACCCACAAGGGATCGGAGAATTGGAGGTAAGTGCAACCTGATCCACCAGCAGGTATTACCTCCATTTCACTTTCAGTTTATTACAGTCTATACAAAAAACCCGAGTGCTCTGTAACTATATATTTAGATATAGATATGTATAGATATAGATACAAATAATGATTAAGACAAAGTTAAAATTTATAAAATAACCTAGCCAACATTTATGAGTTTACAACTTAAAATCAGGGAACTTTCTTCTTCCATGATAATCGGTTGGATAACTGAATCCAGATCTAGGTCAGGGTTAATACTTAGGTTTATTAGCTAAGCATAGAGTCATAGACTTTATAATATTATACTTCATGATGTGGAGGAGACAAACAGGTTTTCTTCTTCCTCCATCTCTTTCTAATAGAATATGTACCATCGGCATAATTGTAAAATATAGTACACTAAGAAAAATGTTTTCAAGAAAAGTTGATGAGAATTCGAGATACTTTCTAAAAACTCCTCTATTCTGGACAGGGGTAGTGCTTGTGCAAGATTTGCTGCTGTTCATTCTTATCATAAGACAACAATACCCTAATCAAGGAACAACCAAGGAGAAAATCATACACCCCCCCACCCTCGCCAATACTGACAGAGCAAGCTGCTGAATATAAAGAGGGACCAAACCCCACACTCACCTGCACTAATGATGGTATTTGTTGAGTAATGAAACTTGGTTGCAAACAAACAAACAAACAAAAACCTCCAAGCTCAGAAAGCACCAAGGATAATCACAAACTATGGTGCCACTGATTTTGTGCAGAGCAATTTATGATACAATACAGAGCTATCGAGTTAGATGATGCTTAAAAACAACTTACAGGGCCAATGCTGATGAACTTGGTAAATTGGTCATCAGCCTTGATATGATCATATAATTCCTCCACGGCTTGCTGTCTCAATTTTTTGCTGTGGAATTGCTCATAGATGTTGGCTATTGCTGGAATAGAAGCAGAAAGAGACCTATGGAAGACTTCACTTCCCTTCAGAAAAATCAAAAACAAATACACCAGAAACTATTGTTCAATCAATTTTCAAACCCAATATATGCTTCCATCTAATTCAAGCTCAACTGGGAAACACGTCTAATTTCCATTTAGCATATTGCTTCATGCAAACAGCGTCTAGTTTCTACACCTTTCTTACTCTTCATTTCCTTGCCCTCCCGTCCACACGCAAAGGCTTTGGCTTTGCCATTCCCTGTTAAATGTATAGGAAATAATTTTCAGGTAATGATGGCAACTGGGACTGAAATTTATATCGCTAAGCAATGTGATCATAAAGCCTAAGTCACATGACTGCATCAATTAGCAACAGCAATCCCTGCAGTCCCTGTTGCGGCTGTTAAACAAGGATCATGGATTTTTATGTGAGCATTTTCTTGCAACTTCCTGCCAACTTCCAATAATCAAGATCAGTGGGGAAGCCAGCAGAAAGTTGCAAGCCCCAGGCGCTCACAAGGCAGACAGCAGGTAGGTAAGTGGCTGCTGCCAGGTGGGAGAAAGAGGGGGGGGAGGGTGTGGGGGGGCAAGGGGGTGCACAGGGGGTCAGGAGTGGCACAAAGGTAGTGTGGCTTGGGGTGGCTGGTGCCTGATGGGAGAGGATGTGCAAGGGTATGCGAGTGACTAGGGAGGGTGCTGTCAGGAGAATAATAGATCTGTTACTATCACTGTTATTTTGGGGAACCATTAGATACAATGAAATATTTGGAAAAACAACCATTTATCTTTCTTATATTCTGAGGACTCCTTTGGAATTACAAAGATGTTTCCTTGACAGCATATTATTGTGCAGTGAAATGGAATTCAGCAAGAACAAATGAGCCCCCACCCCCTTCAGCAAGAGGCAGGTTGACCTACCATAGACCACTTTCAGTAGCCAGCTATGTGGTGTATATAAATCCCCAGAAGCAACATTATTTTTTTGCGCTGGCCAGTCAATGCTGTCATAATCTTGTACATAGAGCTCCTGCAAAAGAAGCACGGAAGAATAAAGAATTAGCATTTGAAAATCCACAAGGAATCTCAGTGGGTTTTGAATAGGCAAAATTGTTCCTTAAGGAACATGCCCGAAGCATAGACCTCTAGAAGCCCTTCAGAGAGATTCCACCATAGTTTACCTTCATGAGACGAGAAAAAAAACAACACAATTCTGCATGCCCATTATTTATATAACATTGTATTCTGAAAGAGATGCAATGTTATATAAATGCAAGGTCCCTTCCAACTCTGTTAATCTGTAATCAGATTGGACAACCATTTGTCTGAAATGTTATAGGGTCTCCTGCTTGAGCATGGGGTTGCGCTAGAAGATCGCCAAGGTCCCTTCCAACTCTGTTATTCTGTTCCTGGCTAGTCCCATTCGCTCCTTTTGGAATCACAAAGCTTTCTGTCCATACAGTATGTAGCTTTAAACATGGTATTGTTCATAATTCCAGAGGATGAACCTGTTGAATTTGGTCTTTGCTTTATTTCTTTTCAACCTGCATAAAGTAGCATGATTGGAAGATAATTACAGGAAGTGACTGATAACTTTTGACATCTCTTTTCAACATTGTAAGGTGGAATCATGTTCATTTCAATGGAAATTTAAAATAAACACACACACGTGACAAATGGTGTGCCTGGTGAGGGTTATACAGTAAAACCTCCGTAATTGACCATCTCCCTAAGTTGACCTAATCTTTGTAGACTGGACATACACTATATGTGCACAATAGAAAACCAACCTCTCTATATAGGCCACCTCTGTACGTTGTATCTTGACCACATGGACACACAGTATTAATTTACTCTCTATAATTTGATCAGCTGAATCTAGTCTGCACCAAGGGCAAGAAAAATGAAATGCAGAATTGGTAGCAATGAATTTCTTTCAAGAAGAATATCAAAGAATACAATAGTTTTTTAGTTTGATTTGGCAGTAAAGATGACATCTTTTCCAAGGTGGACTCTTTTCCAAGGTGATGCCTGACAGGAGCCTCATTATGAGGGTCGACAAACATAAGAGTGGAAAACGTTCCAAAGAATGATTCAGTTCTGCTGTGCACTAGCTTAACCGGAGAAAAGCTAAAAGCTTTGGCGACTGGTAAATCAGCAAAGCTACCCTCATTCAAAAACCTGCAGCCCAAAGACCTTCCCGTCACTTGGAAATCTAACAAATCTGCATAGATGACTGATGCCCTATTTGAAGAGTGGATCAGAGGTATTGACCGAGAAGTGAAGATGAAAAAAATGGCCCATTCTTCTTGTAGTGGGTAATTGTCCTCACCATCCCCAAGTGAATCATCTTGCAAACATGAAACTAAATTTTTTTGCCTCCAAACACTACATCAAAAATTCAACCTCTTGACCAAGGCATAATCAAAATATTCAAAATACTCTACTGAGCCCAGCTTCTGCAGTGGTTCAATGCTAAAAGGCACATCTAGGGTTCGTCTACAGAAGCAAAACCCTAACCCTAACCCTGACCCAGAAGCAATTTTCCAATCAGTACTGACCGAGGAACAACCCAGTGGAAAAGTGCTGGAAGCAACTAATGAAGTGAAAGAATTAAGTGAGACACGGAAATTGGAGGTATTTCGAAAGAACAGAATGTCAGTCATTTGATAATGCAATTAAAGTTATTTGCCATGGAAAAATGCCCAGGTATGCTGAGTAGTATGGACAGTGTTGAGAGTGCTTTCTCCACTTACCTTCATAACAAGAATAAGAAACAGACTAAAATTGGCTCTTTTTTTCAGAATGATTAGAACATGAGAAAACAATATATATGTAAACGTATTGGTTTTTTATGATACAGTATTGTATGAATGATTTTCCTGTGTTTTCATTATGGGTGTTTCTATATGACCTTTTCTAATAAAAGCTGTACAGTAAAATGAGGCATGTGTACATATCAGTACAGTCGTTCCGTATGCTGACCACTTTCATTGAGTCCCTTGGGTGGTCAACTTTCAGAGGTTTTACTGTATTTTATGAACAGAAAATCTGTAAATAGTAATGCTGTGCATTCTTTGAAAGCTATTTAGAAAAGATGCTTTGGAATATGAAAGAGCACAAGCACAGCACCTCTTCAAAGCAGCACTAAATACAGGGGTGCTTTAATGAGCTGAATGTGTGGAAGCCTGAAAAATGCAGCTGCTTTTAAAATATGCCTTAATCCCCTGCATTTTATAACACCTCTTTGAAATAATTTTTGAAGCATGTCCACCCCTTCTAAATTGGTCTAATAGAACTAACTCTGAAATATATATTTTAGAGCAAAAAGAAGAAAAAAAACTAAAAGGGCATTTTCCTATCAAATTTTAATTTTGGAATTTCTTTGGGAACTGGGAAACTGGAAATTGGCCCAACCCTGCATCTTAAACAAGATCAGAGGTTCCATTAATTGAAAGTCATTGGATTAATATGAAAGCGATGCTGTGGCAACTACCTGTCGAAGGCTCAAGATAAGTTCATCTTCTTCTGCAGTGAGACGGACAGCATAGCAGTAGGCCATTGGCAGGTAAACCTGGCGACAATGACACCAAAGTGTGGAAGGGTTAGCTGGCACCCATGAAGGAAACAACCTATTGTAAAGTAGAAAGAAAGAAAAAGCTCATAACAGTGGGTTGATGACTGCAAAGACAATGTAAGAACTTAACTGAAGGAAAACTGCAAAAAGATCATGACAACAAAACATGGAGTGGGTGCCTATACACACTTAATCCAGCAGGCTTTGAAAAATTGGCCACTGGCATGCCCATCTCTAGCAACTATCAGACCTTGAAGAGTTTCCATGAAGTGGACCAGTGTATAAATAATTTCACATTTGGGGACAATATCAAAAATACTGGAATCAGATTGTACTCTTTTGGTCTTAGATGTAAACTGTGATATAGTGAACTACACAATACCGAGTTACTCTTACTACTCTAATAGGTAGACAAGTTTAAAGAGCCATTTGGTCTAGTGGTTAAAGAACCATACATTCATTCTTGGGAGAGGGTGTATCAGATTCTTATCTTAAACTATGAGGTAATTTTTTAAAACTAAATATAGGAAATTCCTCCTCAGCTTGTAGAAAAGAAAACAGGCATTTAGAGGACATTCAAGAGCCCACATCAGGGGGAAAAAATCCAAAAATACTCTCATAGTAAATACTGAAACAGATTCCACCAATAATGTGGATTTTTAATTCTCACAATGAAAATAGAACTAAGAATTCATTGTGAAGCTTTCCCTATAACTCTTACCTCATAAATACATTTTCAACAGTTAAACTTACGTACAAGTGGTCTATTTTGGAAGGAGATAGGGGCCATAATCTGGAACATACATTGAAAGGTAATAAACTGATCTGAATGAATAGGAAATTAACGGACTTGCATACAGCATGTGCAAATTCTAAGAAACCTTCGTATATTGGGAGGGGAGAATGGTAACAATATATATGTGTGTGTGTGTGTGTGTGTGTGTGTGTGTGTGTGTGTGTGTGTTGGTCAACTGCATCCATCCATGTAATGAAGACAGACAGAAACTGGGTATACTTTTCTTGATGATGATTTACATACCACATCTCAGGAAGCAACGTATTCATTCCTTCCCAACTGTAGACATTCAAGACAGCCAGCCAAAATTTACCCCAGGAAGCGACTCCTACAGCACCACCTGAAGAATTCCAAAATAGAATATCAAAACAGTTACAAGGTTATAAAACATAAACAGTTCATAGTTATTACAGAGGAGAAGGGAGAGAAATGATCTATCTAAGAGCTAGGATTCCCCCTTTTCCCTCTGCCTGTGTGGTGTGTCTTGTCCTCTCAGGCCCGAAAAGGCTCCGCTACCAAATAGCCTGGCCTCATCCAACCTCTTCTTCCATTAGTCCTGATAATAACAGCAGTTTTTCTTTGAGTCGTTCTCTACAGATAGACTTCCTATATATCCTGGAATTTCTGGGCAGGAAACAGCAGAACATAAATAACAGGAAGTAAAAGGGTGACTTCAATTTCTCCAGTCAAAGATAAAGTACGAAAAAGCTAGTGAGTAACTTTATTACCTCCCGTAGAAGTAATACAAATACCTACTATTGATTGAACTTGGAGCAGATACCAGAAAAACAAGTCTACTCACAAGGCTAAGTAAAGCAGGGAACACTCAGGAAAGAGATGATGTATCCTACTTAAAGACCGCCTAGGAAAATTGAAGGGTGTAAATAACATTTAATTCACAAGTGGTCACATACTGACCTCCAAAAGCATTTCCTGCAAATAGGAAACTGTTAATCAATGAACAGCATTAGCCATGTTAATTACTGAGCAGCTTCAATCAAGCTGAGAATATTATCAAATTGGCAACCAGAAGAACCTATTCGGAAAAGGAGACAGGTTGGCATCAAGTTGATCTTTTTTTCTTCTCCTAGATTTTCATAATAACAAACATGATCAAGGAGAACCAAGAATGTATTGAAAAATCTAAAGTAAAAATGTAAATCTTCCCCCTCAAGTCCTGTTGAATACGGGAAAGTTCAAAACAATGAAATGGGAAATGTATTTGCTACATGTTTAGGTCTTTGGCATTAGCAAATTAAAATGAATATCAACTGAATAGTTTCAGCCAATTGACCATACTGTTTACTACTCAGGATACAAAGAAAAAAAAAAAGAAATGTTTATTTTTTACATAATCAGGAAGGATATAGCAAAAGTAGTATTTGGGCATAATGTAGTAATGATCAAATATCAGCCATTACATTTCCCATGAAAACTTTTAATATGAAGGTTATCTAAGTATATTCTCCAACCATTGATGCAGAAAAAGAAGAAATTGACCTATTTTATGATCCAGCTTAATGTGGAATCAATAGAATATGCAAACAAAATGTGCCATTTGGAGATTGGAATGTCAGTGGTGGAAATAATGAGGAGGAAAATATAGTTGGAATATGTGGTTTAGGAAGCTGAACTGCAACTGTCTGGCATGAAAGACAAAACCACACATGAAGTTCCAATTAAACTGATTTATTACAATTCATGCTTATGCACAGAAATTTGCTCAACTAAAAGTTAGCATTATTATGGCACTAGATAGAGGTCAACGGACTTCAAGACAAGTTAGACTTAGTCTGTTTGTGGTTATGTAAAGACTGTAGGCCTGGGGTGTTACAAACTGGATGCGTCACACACAGGCTGCACCTACCCCAGCTCCGCGAAGGGGGAAAATGTCACAAAAGTCACGTGATAGCAATGAGTTGACACCAGGACTCTAGCCTGATTCCTCTTTTGACTTGCCCCCAGGTTCTGCCATTCCTTCTCCTACCGGAACAGAACAATTCATCAGTTTCTGCCAATCCAATTACTTCACTGCTATCAAAATCTTCAAACAACCAAAGAGTTGGACATCACAGAAGATGAATACAAAAATGAAAATGACTATGCTATTGGCAGAAGGATGTGGAAAACTCAGCTGTGGCCAGACACTGACTATGAAACAGATCATGAACTGCTCATGTACAAGTTCCAAACTAAGCTAAAGCAGAAGAACAAAGTCAACTTGTTTCTATGATACAATCTTGAACATATATCCACTATTTTCAAGGAAATTGCTTGGAAGCCATGAACCTAATTTGACAGAGAATCAAAGGAAATGTGGAATAATATCAGAGAAATTGTTAAGAATGAATGTGAAAAACACTTCCAAAAGTAGAACAAAGAAAACTAGATGTCAGGAATAAGAAGTGAAAATTGCCTAAAAGAAAACAAAAACCAAAGCAAATACAGGCAAAGATCTCAGGAAGCAACTTAACAAAGGATTTCAGAAAGGTGCTCCAAATGACAAGAAGTGGTATTGACACTAATAAAGACATTGAAGATGGAAAAAGACATGGAAAAACAAGAACCTAATATTCCCAAACTCAGAAAGTTTCTAACCTCAAATTGATATGACAAATGACATCAGTGTCAGATAGTAATGTGCTCCAAAAAGCTCAAACAAAGATGGAAGGAGATATTGAAACTTTGTACAGCAGAGGTCAACTTCCCTTTAGAAGATGAACCCTGTTTCATGAGAATATCTATAATTAGAAACCACAGATAGATCAGCACACCAGTCATTACCCAGTTAGAAGACTATAGAAATTGAGAGAATATCTACAGAAACATAGCAAGCAACAGAAGAAAAATCTTTACAGGGTATAACCAAATTATCCCAAAATTGCAACTTTGGAGAATGACATATTGTCCAACAGATTGGAAGAAGCCAATTTACATATCCAAGAGACTTAACGTAATATGCAAACTATTATACTATACCTTTAATTTCACATGCTAGCAAAATAATGCTTAGAATTAGCCAACGTAGATTAGGGCCTGATATGGAAAGGGAGATGTCAGGTGATCAAGCTGGCTTTAGAAAAGCAGAAGAATAAAAAACAGTTTTGCTGATGCAAACTGTATAATCAAGACAGCCCAAAAGAAGACAATAAGTTATCCATGGCTGGGCTTGAGTACAGTGGCAATTGACAACTCACTGGAAGAGCTGAAGGGCCAGAATGGGGACAAATATTCCTGAAGACAGTGTACCAACATAGTCACTAAGAGCTGACATCAACTTAATCCATAAACATAATTTGTGATTAGAATAAGAAGCAAAGAATCCTTTTCTCCCCCAAAGGCACCAATGATGCTCAATGAAAAATAAAAAGCACATTTATTTCCAGGCTCCAGCTGGTTGTTCACCTTTGCTGTGGAGGTTATTTCGAGCCTTCACTAAGTCTGGATCATCAGCGCTGACTCCAAGTATACGCATGGCTGTGTAGTTCAGAGCAGTAGAAAATACCTTAGACAAGTCCTCAATGTGTCTAACAGACAACAAACAAGATAAGTGTTAGATAGATGTGTTTACACAAGAAAACCCAACTGTTCTTCAAGTTCTGTGAATTTTTGAGAACTGCTTAAACCAAAGAAAGCAAAATAAAAGAGTGTGGAGTAATTTTATTACAACTTGACTATCAATGACTATATTTTAGAGTTTTATTTTAAATGCATAAAAGAGAAATATAATGCTGAGATTGAGGTTTTGTAGAATTAGAGTTTGCTTGCAGAATTGATTCATCTGAAATAGGAAAAATTAATACTGTAATGATGAATCAGAGAAGCAAAGCTTAATGAGCACTAGCAATATCAAACTCTATGGATTTGTTTCTTATTCATACAAAATGCCATATAAACATTAGGAATATGATGTTACCTGGGCTGTTTTGTGTTTCTTTCTATCTTCTATTAATTAAAAAATCCTGCCTTCTAGAGAATGTGGAAGACAGAAGACAATACCTTAAAGATTAACAGAGTTGGAAGAGACCTTGTATGTCATCTAGTCCAACCCCCTGCCCAAGCAGGAGACCCTACATCATTTCTGACAAATGGCAGTCCAATCTCTTCTTGAAAGTCTCAAGTGATGAAGCTCCCACAACTTCCGAAGGCAAGCTGTTCCATTGGTTGATTGTTCTCACTGTCAGAAAATTTCTCCTTATTTTCAGGTTAAATCTCTCCTTGTTCAGTTTCCATCCATTATTCCTTGTCTGGCCTTTAGGTGCTTTAGAAAATAGCCTGTGACACCCCTTCAAATATTGGAACACTGCAATCATATCTCCGCTGGTCCTTCTCTTCACTACACGAGCCATGCCAGTTCCTGTAACCGTTTTTCATATGTTTTAGTCTCCAGTCCCCTAATCATATTGGCTGCTCTTCTCTAGAGTCTCAACATTCTTTTTATAGTGAGATGGCCAAAGCTGGATGCAGTACTCTAGGTGTGGTCTTACTAAGGCTTTATAGAGTGGTATTAGTACCTCACTTGATCTTTATTGTATCCCTCTGTTAATGTAACTTAGGATTGCATTGGGTTTTTTGGCTACTGCTGCACACTGCTGGCTCATATTTAGCTGGTTGTTAAGTTAAGACTCCAAGATCCCTCTCACAGTTACTGCTATTAAGCCTGGTTTCACCCAGTCTATATGTGTTCCTTTGGTTTTTCTAAGACATTTACAATATCTTTTGGACAGAAAGCAATTCCTCAGCCTCATTTATGGAAGGAAGCTATTAGTCCATTTTAACAACGTAGTACATCTAAAATTTCTTTCCAAGAAATATAACTACATAAAGGATATCTTTCAAAAGAAAACAAAAACATCTGGACATTTCACTATATATAGCTAAGATTAATGTATCTGTTAAGAGAATCTTTGGGAACAACTACAGGAACCAGCCAAAGGAGGAGTTCCCATCCCACAGGTTGGTAGGAAGCATTTCAAAGTAACTCCATCTTAATTGATCTGCTACGAATTTGTCTGGAACTTCTTTTTACACTTTTCATTAAACTAGCATGAAGAAGACTTCCTGACATTCATATCATTCTCACTTGTTAAGTTTTCAAACTTTGTGAGGCTTGAGAAACATAAATCTATTATTTTTTAAAATAAAGTTTTATTATATATATATATATTTTGTTTTGTATTACAGCTTCAATTTTACAACCATGACATACTGGTTGTATCAACATTATACATTATGCATTCTATTATATGTCCTATGTTCAACCATTTAACTTTTCTTTACACCATATTTATCTTTCTTATTCCTATAGTTCTAACTGAAGTTTCTATATGTATATATTTTAAACTATCATTATACTCATATTGGAGAAATATAAATTTAACCGATCTAACCAACAGAGTTTCCACCTATTCCAAACAGAATAAGCTAGAGGCCATTGCAGTAGCAGATAATTTGGTACAAATTATCTGTCCCAGGGATGTACTTTCTGTTCAGAAAGACTTCCAGAGCTTGGGGTATGAACTTGGTAATATGGGCTGTATGCTTATATTTTCAGAGATTCTACCAGTATACAAGGAACAAAAAGGGAAAGGCCAGCGTGTAGTGGAGTTTAATGTGTGGCTAAAGGAGTGGTGTAGTTTAGTTTTATTAGTCATGATGTCTGCAACTGATCCAATGAAAAACTGTACAAAAGAAATTATTTGCATCCATCAAAGAAAGCGACTGAGTTACTTGGCATTAAATTCACAGATTTCCTGGCTAAACATTTAAACTGAATAGCGGGAACAGAGAATTAATGGATACAGAACATTTCTGTCCCCAGCAACCTAAAATTAATAAAGATACCAGTGCATGCAAAATAGATGTTTGTGCAGGTAAGATTATCAACCTTGCTGTCAAGCGAAACCAAGCATTTAATAGTGAGTGCCATACCATGTGCATTAATCAAACAGGTGGCAAGAAAATTGGGGCAGGCAGGCACAACACAATTTATGTAGACAGTAAACACAGTGTCAGACATAAAGATCTCAAGTGCCTAAATATAAATGCACAAAGTCTGGAGAACAACAGGGTGAACTCGAACTACGAATACATGAAGGTAAATATGATATCGTTGGAATAACAGAAACTTGGTGGGATGAAACCCATGACTGGAACATACTGGTAGAAGGATACAAACTATTCAAAAAAAAACCCAGACCCCATAAAAGAGGAGGTGGAGTTGCACTATGTAAAGGACCACTATATTGCTACAGAAATGCATGAAACCAAAGATGAAAACTTGCTAGAATGCATATGGGTAAATATAACAGAAAAAAAGAATGATATGGCCATAGGTGTATATTATAGGCCATCCAATCAAGCAGAAAAAATAGATGTCATTTTTGCCAGCCAACTAACAAACATATGCAGGAAACACACAACAATAGTAATGGGGGACTTCAATTATCCTGATATCAATTGGAAAACTAATTCTGCACCAAGTGAGAAATCAAATAAGTTCCTAACCAACCTAGCTGACAATTTTGTTGTCCAAAGTGTAGAGTGTGAAACTAGAGGGACAGCCATACTGGACTTAATTCTTACAAACAGAGAAGAAGCGATAGAGGAGTTGAAACTGCAGGAACCTTGGGTGAGAGTGACCATGTCATACTAGAATTCAACATAACACAAACACAAGCAACAGAACATAATGACACCAAAGACTTGGATTTTAAAAGAGCTCCTTTCAATAAACTCAGAGATAACTTGGGAAAGATTCCATGGATGAAAATCCTAAACGGGAAAACAACTCAAGAATCTTGGGAAACTCTGAAAAGTATGATCGTAGAAGCCCAGACCAGCACAATACCACTGAGAAAGAAAAACAAGAAATCCAAGAAACCAGCATGGCTGCACAAAGATCTCTCTGGCAAATTGAAAGAAAAAAAGGACAAGTACAAAAAAAATGGAAAGAAGGACATACAACTAAGGCAGAATATCAGCAGATAGCCATAATCTGCAAAACGAAGTCAGGATAGCAAAGGCTCAGAACAAACAAAGGCTTGCAACAAAAGTCAAAGATAATAAAAAAAAGTTTCTTCCAATATATAAATAACAAGAAAAAAATCAAGGAAACAGTTGTTCCACTAAGGAGAGAAGACGGCAAGGAAGTAACAGGCAACAGAGAGAAAGCAGAACTGCTTAACTCATTCTTTGCATCAGTCTTCACGCAAAAAAACTATAGCTCAACCCACCAAAAACATAACCGTAAAAGACAAACCAGAAATAAAAATTAAAATAAGCAAAAAAAAATAGTAAGAGAATATCTGTCTGATCTTGATGAACACAAATCACCTGGGCCTGATGGATTACATCCCAGACTTTTAAAGGAGCTGGCAGAGGTCATCTCAGAACCACTGCACCATATCTTTCAAAAATCCTGGAGCACCGGGGAACTACCAGAGGACTCGGAAAGAGCTGATGTGGTTCCCATCTTCAAAAAAGGGAGAAAAAAAACAGACCCATGAAACTATAGACCAATCAGCCTCACATCAATACCCGGGAAGATACTGGAAAAGATAATAAAAAAACAGATCTGCCAACATCTAGAAACAAGTAAAGTAATAACTAGCATTCAGCACGGGTTTGTTAATAACAGATCATGCCAAACTAATCTTATTTCATTCTTCAACATAGTGACTAAATTAGCAGACCATCAAAATACTGTGGACATAATATATTTAAATTTCAGCAAGGCATTCGACAAAGTAGATCACAACTTACTTCTTAGTAAGCTAGAAAAAAGTGGAATAGATAGCACCACCACTAGATGGACTCGCAACTGGCAAACCGGACTCAACGAGTAGTCCTTAATGGGTCTAAGTCTGCATGGAGGGAAGTAAGCAGTGGGGTGCCACAAGGTTCCATCTTAGGCCCAGTACTCTTCAATATCTTCTTTAACGACTTAGATGAGGGAATAGAAGGGGAACTTACCAAATTTGCAGATGATACTAAGCTGGCAGGAATAGCTAACACCCAAGAAGATAAGCTCAAGATCCAGATGGATCTTGACCGACTATAACACTGGGCCGTATCTAACAAAATGAAATTCAATGTAGGGAAAAGTAAAGTCCTACACTTAGGCAAGAAAAACCAGAAGTACACATATAGACCGGGTGAAACCAGGCTCAATAGCAGTAACTGTGAGAGGGATCTTGGAGTCTTAACTTAATAACCAGCTAAATATGAGCCAGCAGTGGGCAGCAGCCGCCAAAAAAGCGAATGTAATCCTAAATTGTATTAACAGAGGGATACAATCCAGATCAAGGTACTAATACCACTCTATAAAGCCTTAGTAAAACCACACCTAGAGTACTGCATCCAGTTTTATTCACCACATTATAAAAAAGATGTTGAGACTCTAGAAAAAGTACAGAGAAGAGCAACCAGGATAATTAGGGGACTGGAGACTAAAACAAAGAAAGAATGGTTACAGGAACTGGGCTTGGCTAGTCTAGTAAAGAGAAGGACCAGGGGAGGCATGACAGCAGTCTTCCAATATTTGAGGGGCTGCCACAGGGAGGAAGGGGTCAAGCTATTTTCTAAAGTGCTTGTAGGCCAGACAAGGAATAATGGATGGAAGCTGAACAAGGAGAGATTTAACCTGGAAATAAGGAAAAACTTTCTGACAGTGAGAACAATCAACCAATGGAACAGCTTGCCCTCGGAAGTTGTGGGAGCGCCACACTTGAGGCTTTCAAGAAGAGATTGGAGATATGTCAGAAATGGTGTCGAGTCTCCAACTTGGGTGAGGGGTTGGACTAGATGACATACAAGGTCCCTTCCAACTCTGATTGTCTGTTATCTGTTAATTTGGATAAAACAAAGTACTGGCAGGGTAGGAAATAAGGGATAAAGAGCACAGATTATGCACAAGGATTAGAAAGCAGCTTTTTTGGTTCAAGTTGATCTCTTGTATATTTTCTAGAGACAGAAAAATGTTAGAAATAACAATGCAGGTAATTCTGAACTAACAACCATTTTTTATTAACTGTTTGAAGTTACAGCAGAACTGAAAAGTGACTTATCACCATTTTTCACACTTATGACTGTTGTAGCTTCCCTGTGGTCACATGATCAAAATTCAGATGCTTGGCAACTGGTTATTTATGATGGTCGCACTATCACCTTTCATGACCTTCTGATGAGAGAAGTTAAAGGGGAAGCCGGATTCACTCAACAACCATGTTACAAACTTAACAATTGCAGCGATTCTCTTAACAACTATGGCAAGAAAGGTCTTCAAATGGGGCGAAATTCACTTAACAAACGTCTTACGTAAGACTGAGAAAGATTCTCCAAGGCTTTATAAAATCTTTCCCTGCAATAGTAGATTCTTGCAAGATAACGGATTTCTACTACTCTTTCAAAATGCAAAGTAATTGTAGATTTCTTACTGATTTCTTAAGGCACTAAACACTCTTGGTCAATTCCTGAAATAGGTACCATCTTCTCCTTAGGAACTCCCGACCATTTCCTCCCAAAATAATTGGCTAGGCATTGAGTCCCATGAGCAAGAAGAGCCCCTGTTTTTCTATGCCTTTGTAATATGCTTATAAATTCTCACTGCTCACACCAAGATCAGCATATCAGTCCCTTCTGAACCAGGATGGCATTTGCCAGCTGGAACAAGGGAAGACTGTCAGATATTTACAACGAAAAAAAAAATTCTGGGGCATCTTTATTTAGGCTGAGGAGAACTGAAATGTTGCTGGTGCTGGCGGTGCTGCTGCCGCCACCCTGATAATGAACTAGGAGAAAGTTGCAAAAGTCCCTCTGAACCAGCAGCTTTTGAGTGTTACTCACAGGCCCCATCCTCCATCTGGGAGTTGCACTGAACGCAAATAGCGCACCATCTCCTTCTTACTTGCTTCTGGGATTGGAACCTTAGCAACATGGCACGCAATCAGAAGTCCTGTTTGAAGAAAACCAGAAGGTTAAAAAAAAAATGCAGTTAAGGCTAGAAAGCCTTTTCAGGCAGCAACAACAAGAAGCTCCTGAAATAATGAATGGTCACTGCTCACTTCTGCTAAAATCCAATGAACTGGAATGCTTAGACTTAAAAGATTCCAAGAGGCCTGGAGAGAGAGAACCGTCATTTAAATTCATCACCATTGTGAGCCAATTTGTTCTATCTGTATGGAATAAGATCCCTCTATTCCTTTTAAACCATAGTAAGGGGTAGCATGTAGAGAAACATTTCATTCATTCTGATGTAGCTTAGCAGATTTTTTGCCTTTGATACAAACACCGATCATCTGACTGATGCATGACCATCTATGAGAAGAAGCTCTTGGGACATTTCTTGTAATGATACCTGGCAACAGAAAGAGAGGACCTCCATAATCCTCAGCCCAGTGACCATCCTCTGCTTGTAGGACTGAGAAAAATTTCATCCCATTTAGCGCTGCCTCCTCTGCAGTACAGGCTGTAGGCAAGATTGGGAGGGCTTTAGTCTGCAAAATAGAAAGGAATTGGAACCAGAAAATAATATAAATGATCAGACTCAGTGGTGGTATTCAACTGGTTCTGCCCAGTTCTGGTGAGCCGGTAGGAGCGATGAGCAGCAGAGACCAAACCGGTTCTGTCCACCGCTCTGCCGTTGGGCTCACCTGCCCACCCGGGCTCCCATACTCATTTTTATCTGCTGAATTTGAAGTGCAGCTGCTTTGCAGGGCACAGAATAGTGCCACGTGGCAGCTGCTGAAGCGACCGGGATTGTGCAGGCTTGCAAGAGGCGCCTCTATGCCTGCGCAAAGTGCGCGTTTGGTGCACACGTGCACGCAAAGTGTGTGCATGCGCACAAAGCACACCCACCAAGCAACGCCCACCGAACTGGTGGCAACATTTGAATCCCACCACTGATCAGACTGTAGATCCATAAAAGTCTAAAGAGAACCGGCATATATATATAAAGAGGTTCACTGAAGTCTCCTGCTTTATTCAAGCCATACAACTTGTGGAGGAGTATTTAGCTGTTCTCCCGTTTCTGGTACAACAGAAAGGATAGCAACTGGCCTTGGATTTGCTCCCCAGGCAAACCAATGACACTTTAAGATATCTGCCAGAAAAGATTCACAGTGAATTTATTTACTTATATCCTGCCTTTATTATTTTTAAAAATGATTGAGCATACCTTCTTCCTCCTATTTTCCCCACAACAATCCTGTGAGGTAAGCTGGGCCAAGAGAGAATGATTGGGTCCAGATCATCCAGTAGGCTTTAATGGCTAAGGCAGGACTAGAACTTAGTTTCACACTTTCTAACCTGGTGCCTTAAGCACTAGACCAGTGGTAGCTAAATTTTTTGGGCTCCTGTGCTAAAAATTGTGTGCGCTTTCATGCTCACATTCGCATGCCAGCACCCAAAAGGCAATGATGGCCTCCCCACCCACCCCCACCTCCCCCTTAACTGCACTATGCCTCACAGCTGATTTTTGGCCAGTTTGAGGGCTTTTTCGGCCTCCCAAAGGCTTGAGGAAAGCTTCTGCAGGCTTCTACAAGCTTTGTAGGATGAAATCTAGCCCCATTTCATCACTTCCTGTTTTTCCTATGTAAATATTGAATTTTTATTTTAAAAAAGCAACTTTTACCCAAAATCAGGAAAAGCAGGCAGGCAGATTGAGTTGCTCACAGAATCATTCAGTGATCTATCTATCTGCCATCGGCTACCTGAGTCTGTCACTTAAATTTACTTGCTCTGAGTCTGTACTGAATAATAGAACCTTCAGTCCTAAGGGAGGTTCGGCTTTGCTTAAAAGCAGAGCTGAAGATCTAAAGACTAGCTAGAAAGCAAGAAATCCAACCATTTCCTGCTTCCTAGCTAATCTAAATCTCCTGGCACAGCAGAACAGCTGATGGTCGGAAAAAGAAACAATAGCAACTTAGCAGGCAAGTTTGCCAGGTTAGGAGTAAGTGGGCGGGGATGGTTCCTGCGGGCCATGTGGGCAACGCAGACTTGTGTTTCTGTGCAGCCTGGATTAATTGCTTTGGGGGGGTGCTCTGGGGATGAGATTTCTCTGCAGCCCACCAACATTTTCTCGCAGCCCACCAGTGGGCCACTGCCCACTGGTTGGCGACTGCTGTGCTAGAACACAGAAATATTTTGCAGCAGACAAGCTGGCCTTCTCCCTAAAGACCGAACTTGAAATAAATTGCTGAGAGTGGTGCAAACTGTCCATCCCCCTCCTATCCCATATTTACAACAGCATCAGTCACTTACTGTGTCCAGCCCTAGAGAATGAGCCTCCAGTACAGTTTGCTTCCGCTCCACACCCTCGCCATCTTCTAGATATCGCCACCGCTGCCGACCTTCTTCATTACTCAAGCGCCAGCGGGTTAAGTCTGTGGCTGGTTCTGTCTTATATGGGCCTCCTCTTCTCCGCAAATATCTAACAGGAATGAAAAGCAAACAGGGGCACCAGGTAAAGCTTTCATCCTAGCATTACAAATGAAAAATGTCCAAGCATTAGGATCCAAGCAGTGTGTGGAGCTTATTGTTAGCACTCCAATTTAGAACTAAACTGTGGATTAACTGTGTATAAACTAAAACTATCTACAGCCACATGAAATAGAAAATGTAAGGAAAGTAAAACAGAACAAGTTTGCCAGGTAAGGAGTGAGTGGGTGGGGATGGTTCCCACGGGCCATGTGGGCAAACGCAGACTTGTGTTTCTGTGCAGTGGAACAACTTGCCTCCAGAAGTTGTGAATGCTTCAAGACTGGGAGTTTTAAAGAAGAGACTGAACAGCCATTTGTCTGACATGGTATAGGGTTTCCTGCCTAAGCAGGGGGTTGGACTAGAAGACCTCCAAGCTCCCTTCCAGTTCTGTTATTCTATATCTGTTTAAATGTGAAATCTCAAAATCCAGTAAAAAAATTATATCAGGAAATAAAAACGCTACTGCTTCTCCCTGCATGTTTCTAACATGCAGCTGCTTGACTTGTGGATGGGTTCAGCCCCATTCCTGTTCCTCAGCATTTGCATCCTTCATACCATGACATGCAAGCAGCCAATTGTGGGTTATTCATCCAAAGGTAATTCAATATGTCTTGGCTTAGTTCAATGTTTATATAGGTAGTCCTCAACTTACAACAGTTCACTTAGAGACCATTCAAAGTTACAACGGCACTGAAAAATGTGCCCTTATGACCATTTTTCAAAGTTACAGCCTTTGCAGCATCCCCATGATCATGTGATCAGAATTCAAATGCTTTGGCAACTGATTCATATTTATGACTGCTGCTGTGTCCTAGAGTCATGTCATCATCTTTTGCAACCTTCTGACAAGCAAAGTCAATGGAGAAGCCTTATCAACTGCAGCAATTCACTTAATTGTGGCAAGGAAGGTCGTAAAATGGGGCAAAATTCACTTAACAAATGTCTCACTTAACAACAGAAATTTTGGGCTCAATTGTTGTTGCAAGTTGAGGACTACCTGTACGCAGCCAATATCCTTAAACTGTTAAAGAGTACAAATTACACACCTTCTGACAGTGTGATACTGTGGAGTGTGTCCATTTCAGCAGATACTGTGGGAAAATACACAATGCTTTAATTTAATTTAAAAGGGCTTCTGTTTTTGGACAAAGTTCTAGATACTTCTAGAAGTATGAACCAAAGAAACATCTCCGCTGACATCAAACACGGCTCAAACGGCTGTTCTCTGGGACAGCCACTTAATGAGCTACATTGGTGACCTTTTTACATGTTTGTGAATGATTTGCTTTCCAATAGCTGAGAATATATGTAGTCCAAGGTTAAACTGTTGGGTTCTTGATGTTTTCTGAGCTAAGAGTACCAAGAATCCAACAACAGCATTCTTCTGCAAGGGTATCCACTCTAAGCAGATGTGCTGCAGGCATTCTTACCAAACCAGCCTGTTTTGGTCACTAACTCCCTCAGCAGCACCTGTATTTTAACGGATTATTTTTACCATGTATCTTTTTATTCTGCCATTTATATGGGATTTGTCCATTTTACTATGTTTACTCTAGAAAAAGTTTGCGGCTATTGCAAACCAATTCAAGATTTTCTAAGATGTAGTAGAGAAATATAATACAGGAGAAGGAAAAAAGATACATAAAAATACAAGAATGAATTGGATGAATAGATAGTATGAAACATTATCAAAATTAACTTGTTGGTGAAATGAAAGGACAACCAAACCACAAACAAATCTCAGAGCGATTTAAATTGCTTAACAACGAGGAAGAGCACAGGGCAATAATTTATGTATCATATCATATATGCACAGTACAAATATCTGTATAAAACATTACATTTTAATTATTCCCGTTTTGTAAAAAAAAAAAAAATCAACCGATAGATGACCACAAAAGATTCAAATCCCTTGTCAGACCATGGGAAATATGTCATTTTTTTAATCATCACTTACGTACCCGACTTTTCACTCATATTTTGTTTTTTATTTTTTGTTGGGTTTTTTTCCATCACCACAAGCATCCTAATGATTTTTTCCAAACAAAACTAAAAGCTAAAGCGACCAGGAAGAATCCTAAAATAGAAGAGATGCCAAAATACTCACGTTCCATCCATCCTGCCACTCTGAGCTAAGGTGGAAGCCTGCAGGACAGGCATAAAATAAAACTATACCCAAAGTGGGACTTATCTCACGACCATCTCGACTGTTTCAGCGGTACGCTGGGATGTGAAGTCTTTTGTGCGAATCGTGGCACAAAGCAGTCCCTTCTTGCGGACTACAACTCCCAAGAAGCTATTCGAAACATCCGATCTGAACTGATATAAGCCCATGAAAGTGCGAGCCAATCGAAGAGAGTTTAGGTATAATGGAAAGGAGGAGTCCGTTTCCAAGTAAAGCTTGCTGTTGGTCTCGAATGCGGGAACGGCAGGGAGTTAACGAACGGACGACTGAATGATTGGCTGTGGGACAGTAATGAAGGCGTTGGTAGCTTTAACGTAGCAAGCGAGAGGATCCAAAGAAATGCAGGGACTCAGCAAGTCAAAGCGCGGCGCTTTGCAAATTTATGGGCCACGGAGGAGCGCCAGCCCTTCCGCGCTTTTCCTCCTCGGAGCTAAAATGTGGCCTGCTTGCAGAGCTTCCAGGCGAAGGAAGCGAGTTTGGCACAGATCAGTGACAGGAAAATGGGGACGGGAAGAAAGCCGCGAAGGGCACAGAAGGGACGCTTCTAAATGATTAAGAAGTTATAAAAATCAATGTTTTGGGGCTACAGTCCCTCGCAGAATACGAGGCAAAAAAACTGCCCGGAAAAATTGCTTTCAAGCCAGCCAAACCAATGTAACTTTCCAGATATAGATACCGTAGTTGTAGGTAGGGCATTGACACCAGATGGAAATCTTCCGGTGAAAAAAATCGCATTATGCTGAGAATCTCTTTGTAGAATTTAAAGTAGTGATTTACAGCTTCACCGCATTCCTGATCAAACCAGACGTGTTGACAGATTGGGGGGAGGGGTATGTTAGGAATATGAGTCACCTAACAGCTATTTGGGTTAGAAATATATAAAGCAGGATATAAGAAAATGCAAAACTGTAATTAGGTGTGGTTTCTCAAACGGCCATAAGATGGAGCCAGAAACCTGGTTTGTTTAGTCTGAGTCTCAGAAGAGAGTGTAAGTGTTTCCTTCTGTTGGAAAGTATTGTGGTTGCTCCATTTCTTCTAATTGACTGATATTACTGGATTTAATGTAAGTCTGATACTGAACTGTTTTTGACACTGGAATTTGATATTTGGATTAGCCCTGGATGAAAACTGACTGATCTTACCTGTGAATGACTTTGGATTGCTTATTTTGGACTTTGCTTAAACCTTTCTGGAAGTAAAAACCTACATTTACTGTACAGTGTATCTGTGTGCTCTGTGTGTATTATTCAAACACTCCTCTCAAATACGTCTCCCTGTATGTGCTCATTGTCCTAACGGGAAATTACCTCAACAGGGCAGTTAACGATTGAAACAGTTTGCTTGAGTTACTGAAACTAGCTTGTCGTGTTATCTAACAAACTTGTGCTATTACTAAATAAAGAAGTTTGGCTCACTCACCTCTAACGAAGTTGGTGATTGTTGCTACTTGCTGAGGTGTCCAATTCAGCACCAGTAAGCCAAGGATCATGAGCCAGCTGCTGCAGTGTTTGTGCAAACCTATTTACGAAAACCCTTAAGTGAATCTTGAACTGTAATGTCAGATGGATCAAATTCTGCATTCTGAATGTTTTCTCCTGATGAAACTGGCAGCTTTTTCCATTTAAAGAAAATCATTTTTGACATCTTGAGAATTCTGTATGTTGATGGTAATGAGGCAGATGTTCACCATATATCACATTGATTTCTGTCATTTGTTGATTAAGAGTACCCATATCTTTCCATAAAGTTGAACTGAAAAGACTTACATCAGGACATGTGGTCCTTGACTTATGACCACAATTGGGACCAGAATTTCCATTGTTATGCAAAATGGTTGGTGAGTTGTGTAAGTTTATGACCTTTTCTGTCATGGTTGTTAAGCGCTTAAGTGAATCACATGGTCATTAAGCAAATGCAATTTACTCCATTGACTTTGCTTCTTGGAAACTGGCTGGGAAAGTAGCAAATGGCAATCATGTGACACACTCCCCCATAAATATATGCCAACCCTCATAAATATATGCCAATTGCCAAGCATCTAAATGTTGATCGTGTCACTCTGGGGATGCTGCAGTGGTTGAGAACTGATTGTAAGTCACTTTTTTCAAGTGTTGTAATTTCAAATGGTCATTAAACAAATGGTTGTAAGATGAGGACTACCTATACTTAGAGGGGCCTTATTAGGCCCCTCACAACAGGGTGCAATCCAAATGCAAAAATTACACTAACTGCAATAGGAATTTCTAGTTCTCATTTATAAGTGAATTTAAAGCAGAGTCTGAACATTTTGAATCTTTTCTTCCTAGGCTGAATTACCTTTTGAAAAATAGCTGCTAACCAACTCTTATCTGCTAGTTGATTATGTGTAACAACATTGGTGATTCCATGCAAAATTTTGGCTGGTCTCAATATCTCGGAAACAGACACTGTAGGTTTTTTCTGAAATAATGTGCCCAAAAAGAAAGAAAAAAGTTTCAGTGGAACACGCTTGCTGCATCAGTGATTTCTACTCAAATGAGCTGAGAAGCTTTTTTTTTTTTTTTTACTGGGAAATGTGTTTCAGCTTGTTTTGCTGAAATATATTTCATCAGAGCAGAGCATCATTCTGTGAGTGCGCTGTATTTCAAGTACCATTCTGGACAGAAAATTGTCCTGCTTCAATTTGCATGCTGTAGAGCCGGAGTTGCCAACCTTTTTGACCTTGGGGACCACCAAACTCATAATTTTAAATCCCAAGGACCACTAATATGAATTTTTTTTAAAAAGATAATATATTTAATATAACAATTTTATTTTTTATATTAAATATGAATTTAATATTAAAAATAATTTTTATTTTTTATACACACACACAAACACATACAAATGCTTATTTAATTATAACAAAATCGTACATGCTTAATCATAACCGTGGGGCAGGGTGAAGGGAAAGGGGGGGGGCTCTCTTATCCTTTGAGGGGAGAAGAGTGAGGATTTAAGAAGCCACATGGTGCCTGGAGGCTGGGAAGATCTGGAAGGGGAGGAACCGGCTCCCGCTCAAACGGAAGAAAATCAGAGCCCTCTCATATCTCCCCCAAGTCAGAGGAAACCTCTCCCTCCTTTGCTAGGTGTGGCTGCCTGGAGTTGGGGAGGGAAGAAGGGCCAGACTGGAATTGCCGACGGGCTCCTAATAACCAGGCAACACCCCCCCCTTCAGCCTCCACATAAGAAGAGGACTCCCCAAGGCTCCAGGTTTCTCCTGTTGGATCCCTCCCTGTGTGGTGGCTGAAGGGGTGGAGGGTGGGGGGGAGTCCAGAAAAGCTGGAGCTCTCGCCTGCACAAATAGGCTGGTTATTAGGAGCCCGTCTTCCTCAGCGCTCTTTTGGTCTGGGCATTTGATCTATTCCTCCTCACCCCATGCCAAAGGAAAGCCAGCCAGGCTTCTCCTTCCCTCCTACCCTTCCCCCCAGTCAGTCTTACTTAAGGACAGAGGAGAGTGTGCTGGAAACGTGTTGGCTTTTCCAACACACCTTTCTCCGGTGCGGCGCTCGCTCTCAATTTTTCACGTTCCTCCAGGCCTGGCTTGCTGAGGGGGAAGAGCAGCCCTGAGGTCTCTGCTGCCCCCCCCCCCAAAACGAAAACAAGCTCTCACTGGGGCGAAAGAGCAGAGATCGGAAGGCACAGGCAACAGAAAGCAGCGCTTTTCAAAGGCAGCCATTTCTGTCTTCTCTTGCCTGTGCCTTCCTCAATCTCAGCTCTTTCGCCCCAGCAAGAGCTATGTTTGTGCTCGCTTTTCCTGTGCTTTCCCCTGGGGCCGTTGGGGGGGGGGGGGGGCAAGCAGAGCAGAGCGACAAGAGGGATGAGGAAACTGATGCCAACGCCCCATTCTGGACCTCAGAACTGGATGGTGACTGCAGACTTGCCCACTCTGCCCCCTCCCACCACCAACCAGTACTTTTCCTGCCCTGGGCCGTCCCTAAAGCCCTCAGCCATTGAGGAAGAACCCAGGCCAGGAGAGGCAAACTGGAAGGTGCGGGAGTGCCACGCAAATACAAGGAGCACGGCGTTCCTGCACCTTCCGGCTATCTCCATTGATGTTTCAGCCCGCCTGTGCTGCCAGCCTCTTGCTGCAACAGCACCATTACCTCCTCATGCCCGTTGAGGACCGCGCTGCTTTTTGCAGGTTTGCACTCGGCCGAAGGGTGGGAGCCAGCAAGTGGGCGGGCTTTGAGGGGGATGCTTTGGGGAGACATCTCTCTGCAGCCCACCAAAATTTTCTCATGGCTCACCGGTTGGTGACCACTGTTTTAGAATATAACAAATAGTCCTTTTTAAGGTAGCATACTGACTTGTTTGATAGCAGCTATAGGTGTATAGTTTTTTTCTCATGTGTTGTAAGCTGCTTAGAATAAGACGAATACAAGTAGTCCTCAGCTTATGACAGTTTGTTCAGTGACCATTCAAAGTTACAACCGAACTGAAAAAAGTGAATTATGACCGTTTTTCACAATTATGACCTTTCCAGCATCCCTATGATCATGTGATCAAAATTCAAGGGCTTGGCTACTGATTCATGTTTATCACTATTGCTGTGTCCCAAGGCCATGGGATCCCCTTTTGCGACCTTCAGACAAGCAAAGTCGAGGAAGCCAGATTCACTTCACAACCGCAACTGCGGTGAAACACTTAATAACAGAAGTAAGCAAGGTCATAAAATGGGTCAAAGTTCACTTAACAAATGTCTCACTTAACAACAGAAATTTTGGGCTCAATTGTGGTTGAGGACTTCTTGTAGGTGGCCATATTGACTGAACATATGTGCAAATCAGTTTGAGACATCATACACGTTTGTATCTATTTTATCTGCTTCATTCCTACTTTCCTTTAAAGAATATAGGTAGTCCCCAAGTTGCAACCACAACTGAGCCCAAAATTTCTCTTGCTCAGCAAGACAGTCAAGTGAGATCTGTCCTGTTTTACAACCTTTTTGGCCGCTATT